TCACTGCTGGTGGGCACAGCAGTGGCCCGCCGCCTACTTCCTCAAAGATTCTGATACCCACCCGTGAGAGGGGTTTCCTGTCATCTGGCTGGGGGTTGACCTAGCTGTTGTGCAGGTAATGGGAAGACATTGCCTGCCTCTGGGTAGAGTTTTTCCTGGTGTATGCAGTCCCCATGGGAGATGCCGAGGCCCCTGTGGACTGGGACACCCACCAATGCCGTGTTTCTCCATGAGCGTGATGAGCTCGGCCTCTGTCAAGTAGTCAGGTGGGCTTGTCTGCTTCTCCAGCATCTTCACCTCACTGACCGGGAAGGCGTCCCCACGCTGGCAGGTGGGCAGGCTCTCCTCCAGGGGCACACTCTGCCAGGGCATGATCTCTGTAAAACCTATGGAGTGCACCAGCTTCAGGGTTGGGAAGCCTTGCTCCCTTCCCGGCCAGCTGGCCTGCCCATGGGGTAGAGGCCTAGGCACATCACCTGGGGAAAGGACGGTCCTCCCGGAACAGGTGAACAGTTCAGGTCCTATGCGGAAGGCAATGGTGCTCTGCAGGTACTTGCAATCATAGCTAACCGTGGCAATGAAGTGGCGAGTGATATACTCATACAAGCGCCAGGCATCACCCCCTGCAATGGTGGGAGCCATTGTCACAGCCACTGGGGTCGACTGGCACCTGCCTCGTCCTGTCCTTGCACTCGTTCAGTGGCAGGTCCGGCTCCTCATCTGCTCCTCTTGTGGGGTACCAGGCCAGGCCTGCACCAAAGCCCCGGAAGGAAAGAGGGAGCCACACACATGGGAGGGGATGCCATCTCTTGTACCACATGAGCCATCATCGTCCCCACCCTGCTCTCAGATGCAGCCACTTCATCAGGTCTATTACTGACCTCCATTATCCTAAGGCATGCCTGTGTCATCAGACAGTCCTCACCCAACACATCGCCTTCCATGTGAGCAATGTGGAGTGCAGCCTGCTCCTTCATGTGGTGCCCACATGCCTCACCTCCCTAAAGCTCAAGGCAGGGGAAAATGTCTCGAACCTAACTCGGCCTCTGTGGTTGCCTTCATCGGGGTGATGGGAGGGTGGTCTCCAGCATCATGGCCCTTCCGTGGGCGGTTGATCCCTCCTGCCAGAAGCTGCTTCACCTGGGGAGAGATTGGGAGTGTCTTGGCATGGGTTCATGGGTTTTTGGCCAGGAGTGGGCACTGCCAATTCTTTGTGTGGCCACATGGCCAATGGGGTTCTGAGGTCTAGTTCACTCACTTGGTCTGGGCCGAGGGGGTGAGTATGGCAGTTCTGTCACTGCCTTGCTTACAGGGCTGGCCTAGGAGGGCTGGTAGGAGCAATTTCAAGCTGGCTAGGAGGGTGGGGTGCTGGCTGGAGAGGCCTCAAGGCCTGACCCACTCACCGTGTTGGCCCAGTATGGGTGGTTGGCCTGCTGTTGCAAAGGGCCTTTGAGGTCGAAGTTCTCAGGGTAGTGGGTCGTCTCGGTGCGTGGGTAGCTAATATAGCCCTGTGTGTAGAGGCGCTCTGCAGTCTGCATGGCGTGCTGTGGCCCCATGCCTGCAGGTAAAAAGGGGCTCAGCTGCCTAGGACGGCCAGGCGGCTGCACCCAATCCCTCTGTTGATGCTGTCCTTCCACCTTCCCAGATGCTGAGGACGGCCAGGGGCGTGCATCTAGTCCCTCTGTTGACCCTGCCCTCCAAGATGGCCAGGTTAGAAGCTGGGGATGGCTAGGGACCTGTACCCAATCCCTCTGTTGATGCCACCCTTCCAGCTGTCTGGGTGCTGGGGGTAGCTGGAGGCCAGCACCCAGCCCCCCTAGTCAATGTTACCCTTTAAGAACCCTGCCTATAGTCCTAGGGTGTGGGCTCTAAGTGCAGGGGTGTCACAGACACCACATGCTGCCCACTTCTCCAGCCCAGGCCCTCAGCACTATGAAAGCAAGACCCCAAGATGGTGCCCACCCTGCTGCCAGCCTCTGCTCTGGGTGCGCTCCTGGGAACCACAGAATACCATCACTGCTATTGCTCAAAGGTAGTGTCATACTGTGAGTCATGAGGTTTTCACTAGCCAAGTTCCACCGGATTTTTCTTCCTGGGTTGTCTCAATCTAAATGCTATTCGCATGGATGGCCCTTCTGGTATCTGAAATGTCAGTACAGCCTGTAGCATCCAGCAAGAGCAAGTCTTCATGGTACAACGCACTGGTGGGTGGGTGACAGTGGCACCCTGCAGCTCTCACCCACTTTCTCTAAACCATTAAGTTTACCTCAGATAGCTTGTCTATTTGCTCACTCCACTCATTTGTATCTTAAAACAAAATCTCATAGGATAAAAGAGGAGTGCTGTCCCATTTGATTTAATATTTTCAGTGACTCAGATAAAGGAAGGAACTGTTGCTGCCCTCATCTTCTCACAAGGGAGGAAATGGCTGAGTTGGGGTTTGAAGCTGGGACTTCTATAGCTTAAATGCTCCTGAGGGGACTCAGTGGTGAGGCAGGGACCAATGCACAGGGTCTTGAAGTGACAAGTCCATTAAGGGGATGGGTACAAAGTCCTGGGTGGCCTGCTGGGTCATTGGTTCTGGACCAGCCACTCTGACCTCTCATAGGAGGGGCTTTTACTTCTGTCAGTAAATAGTAAGAAAGAGGCTGAGTTTTCCCACGTGAATCCCAAGGAGCAGTAGAGTGTCTGCCAGAAGTTGTGTGAAATGGAATTGCTTTCCCCATTTGTATTTTACTTCCTTCTACTCTGGAACCAGTTCCCTGGGTGGTCAAAAAGTTTATAGGATCCTGGCTGTTAACCTCAAGGTGAGTGGTTCAAACCTAGCTACAGGATATACAGAAGACAGCAATCTGCTTTAGTGAAGATTATGGCTGAGAAAACCCTTTGGGGCAGGCGCACATAGGGCTGCCATGGCTGAACTCGAGGTGACTCCACAGCCATAGGTTTGGCCTACTCCTGAACTGTATGGGGTTCAGGCTTCAGGAGTTTTCACCCAACCCCAGAGAGCAACAGAGAAAGGCTATCAGCTCTGCACTGTGCCCAGGGCCTCCACTGCCCTGTCACTGAAAAAGGCATATGCCCAGCCCCTCTTCTGAGAGACCCTATGGAGGGCTCTTACATACCCAGGGATGAGCTGGCCACCCGCAGCATCTCCACAGTATTCAAGGCCAGTGGCCTCTGCTTAGCCTTCTCCTTCCTACTTGTGGCCTCCACCTACAGGGTAGAAAGCAGCATGTGGCTCAAGCCCACCTTGGCTCCACAGCCTCCCTCCCCCTCGCAGCCTAACACATGTGCGGTGATTTGGGATTCACAAGGGGGAAAAGTGAGAACATGATGGGGACACGGTCTTTGGGCAAGAGAGAAAAGCTGGGGGGTGGGGTGGGGCTGTTGTTTAGAGAAGTGACTGTAGAGAGATTATCAGGATGGGCTAGGGGAGCTTAGGGAATATTGCACTCTGCAAAAGGTGGTGAAAAATAGCTGGGTATGATTAATGTACTTAATGTCCCTGTGTATGCACATGAGCAGGAAGGTGGAAGACATTCTGGTACCTATATGCTCACCCCATCAGTTGTTGCTCCTGGTAGGTGTTGTAGACTGGAGTACGACTCATAGTGACCCTGTGGACTACAGAGCTGAACCCTGTCCTATTCTGTGCCATCCTCAACATCTCTGACTTACTTGAGCACACTGCTCAAGAGAGGGTGCAAATCCAGAATCTCAGTGAAGCCAGGGAACATCTTTTCTAAAGAATCAGCTGATACATGGGGTCTCTGTGAGTTTGACTCAGTCCATGGCAGCTTCCTCACAGAAGCCAGAATCAAGCTCACTACAGCAGGAGCACCGTGGCAGCTATATGTCACCAGTCACAAGAAGTCAGAAGTCAGGAATTGTGTGTAACATCTCACTAATTTTAAATATGAATAACTATTTTGGAAAGTCTGCTGTTAGGGACCTCTCCCAGGCACTGAAGAGCAATGGTCTCTCTCTGGAGACTAAGGTGCATTTGATACAGGCCATGGTCTTCGCAATCACTTGTTATGCATCAGCGAGTTGGACAATGACCAAGGAGGATAGAAGGAGAATTGATGCCTTTGAGCTGTGGTGTTGGAGAAGAGTATTGAGAATACCATGGACTGCTAGGAAAACAAGCAGATTTGTCCTGGAAAGGGTTAAACCGGGTGGCTCCTTGGAGGCAAGGATTCTGAGGCTCCGTCTAACATACTTTGGACATGTTGTGAGGAGAGACCGGTCCTTGGAGAAGGACATCATGCTTGGTAGGGTGGAGGGACAGCGCAGGAGGGGAAGGCCCTCTATGAGGTGGATTGATTCAGTGACTGGGATAATCGGGATGGGAGTGTCAGAGACAGTGTGATTGGCACAGGACAGAGCAGAGTTTAGGGCTGTTATACATAGGGTCGCTATGAGTCGCAAGCGACTCGATGGCACATAACAATAGCAACAACAATTTTGACCATTAGGAGAACAAACAGGTTCATTGTGGAGAGGGTGAAAAAAGGCTGCTCCTTGGAGGCAAGGATTTTGAAGCTTCATCTGACATAATTTGGACATGTTGCGAGGAGGGACCAGTTCTTGGAGAGGAACATCATGCTTGGGAGGGTGGAGGGACAGCGCAGGAGGGGAAGACCATTGTTGAGATGGACAGATTCAGTGACTAGGATGATGATGGTAGGTATGGTGGAGATGATGAGGCTGGCACAGGATAGAGCAGGGTTCAGAGCTGTTGTACATAGGGTCGCCATTAATTGCAAGCTACCTAATAGCAGTTAACAACTATTTTGAAAATTTTAAACACCATGTAGGTTTAAAAGAACTTGAGTGTGGGCTACACTAGGTTGATGAGCCACTGCCTTCAATGTTTGGACTGAACGTCTTCAGAAACAATCCTTACAACTGGGGCCACCACTCCACACAGAGCTGGTGGAGGGGGCCCTGAAGCTAAGGACACCTGTGTGCCCCAATACTTCCATCAGACAATGAAGGAGCAACAGAGGCTAGCAGCCTCTCTGAATGAGAGCTGACAGCTAGCCTGATGGTGATACCTACAAGCAACTATGCCCAGGCAAGAGGGAGAATACTAAGGAAAGGCTGGCAGAGGACAAGAGAGCAGCTGAGGTGGCCCAGCCATGCCCTAATGCCTCTGGCTAAAGGGCATTAGTTTTGGTGCCCATAGATCTCCCGTACCTGCATAGCCACCTTGTGCCAGACCTGATCACGGCTGATTCACAGAAACCTCCTCCAAATGAAAGCCCCTCAGATGCTGTCTAGTTGACGGTGCCCTTTAGATGACACAGACTAATAGGTGGTGAGACTAGGAAAGGGCAATAAAAAGCCACAAGGTTTACAGGCTGTCGTGCTGAACACCAATGTGGTTTGGAGCGGTCCCTCTATCACTGTGACCCCTAGATTTCAAGAAGCAAGGACACTTGTGTGAAGTCCTGTCACAAGGAGGCCACTGCCTTCAGCTGACCTGGCAGGAGAGGATGGGGGTGGTCAGCAGGGGCAGTCTCTCTCAGTTGATTTGGCAGAGAGGATAGAGTGTCAGCAGGGGCAGTTTCCTCAGCTGACCTAGGAGGGAGGGTGGGGTGTTGGGAGGGGCCATAGCCCTCAGCTGACCTAGCTGGGGAGATGGGAGGGTCTGGAGTGGGTATGTGACACACTCTGGTTGTTGTGTTAGGGAGGCCAGCAGTGGTCCAGATGCAATTCCTGGCCAGTCTATGCTACTTGCAGCCACCACCTGTCAGTCAGTGGAGGTTGACATGCTGCTGTGAAGACACAGGCAGAAAAGTTCAGACTAGATGGGCAGGAAGAAACACCTCCTGAAAATCAGCAGCGCAAACTCTATGCATCACAGTGGTACAGAGATGGGTGGGCCAGGCTGCTGTGCTCTGTGTGCAGGGTCACTGTGAGCTGGGGGTAACTGTCAGCCACTGATCACTTTACAATTACATTGTGCCAGGTCCACGTGCGAGTAACCATTCTTCCCAAGGGATGTTTGCATTTGACAAAGTGGGAGAAACATGTGACCTTGGGCCATAGGCTTCCTAGGTCCCTCTCTCACCAGGAACCTAGAGGTGAAAGGGGAGGAGTGGGCTCACCTGGGCTTCCTTCTCCTGCTTCGTTATGTTCAAGAACATCTGTGCAATCTCCCGGTCAAACACTCTCACCCGATCCCAGTCTAGAAGAAGAGTTCTGTCTTTATTTGCAATCACCTATGGAAGGGAGGATGCAGGAGAGCAGGTGAGAAGAGGTATCTAGGTGAGCCTGGCCTGGGGTCGAGGAGAGATGGGGTGATGCAGTGAGTCCTACTGGGACCAACTGGTCCTGGCCCTACTGTTCTGTGGCCAAACAGATCCAGCAGTGGTAATGGACATTATCCTGAGGGTGAAGTAGTGGATCATCCAAATGTAGTGACACAAACTGTGCCTCCTTCTTCAAGTTCCCCCAGCACCACCTCAGTCACAAGACAGATAAATCTCCAGCTACGGCCAGGTGTGCCTAAGCAAGTGCTTCTAAGGACAAAGGGGCCTTGCCCTTAGAAAGGTGGAAACTCATGGGCCTCTACCCTAATTGATTATGCAGACATGGCTCCGTTATGGCCACTGTGTTTCTCTTTGCCCCTGCAGGGGTGACTGACACCTGCTGTCATGTAAACACTAACCACACCTGAGTAGCACCTGACACACACAGGTTAGGCCTTGCCTCTGACAGCAGGCAGTGGAGCAAGGGATGAGAATGGAAGGCTGAGTGCTCACAGACAATGGAGGGCTGGATCATCACAGAGAATGGAAAGCTGGGATCTCACACAGAATTGAGGGCTGGGTCCCCACAGAGAATGGAAGGCTGGATCCTAACAGACAATGGAGGGCTGGGTTCCCACAGAGAATGGAAGGCTGGATCCTAACAGACAATGGAGGGCTGGGTCCCCACAGAGAACAAAAGGCTGGGCCCCACTCTCCCAGTATTCAAAGGCTGCACTGCCATGAGGCACTTGCTACACCACTGGCTGTGGTATAGCTCTATGCCACTGTAAATGAATTAAAATCCTGCCTCTGCCATCTGCATGGGTACGATTCAATGTCTCTAGCTAGTCCTCACTTTTCCCAGCTGTAAACTGGGGATATGCTGTAATGACTCCATAAAAGAGCTCAATAAATATCAGGTATCATTTCTGTGATGTCATCTTATGACAATACTGCTTGTGTCAAAAGATTCCCAGAACCCACACCCTAAATCTGGGGAGTCCTGCACCCAGGGGAATGGGAAGTGCACCTTGGCCTGCAGCACCCAGTAAGTCTCTGGCTTGAAGGACTGGATTTTATCGTGTCTCTCCACGCAGAAGCCCAGGGTGGGGGTCTGACATGGCCCAAAGGAGATGAGGGAACTGTCCAAGTCACCGTATTTCCCCTGGAAGTATTTCGTCTGGAACCTGGAAGGAGAAGTGGGGGGAGGTCTGGCTGCCTTTCAAGATGGCACAGATAAGGACCTGTGCTGTGGGCTCAAGGAGGCAGGGAACAGAGCTGTCCTATGAATGAACAGTATTAGAGGCAACCAGAAACCAAGTGGCCCCCATGGAAGACAGGGGAGTCTGGGTAGAGGAGCCGTTGTATGTACAAAGACCTCTGGAAAGAAATGAGAAGGGAAGAGATTCCCACCATCTTGGGGCTAGGGACCCAACTTAGCACCTTCTATCACCCCCTTCCCTGTACACTCTTAGTTCAGTTAAACATGTCATTTTACCCAGAGTTTTTAAAACGTTGGAAATGCCTCAGTGTAGCATTGCAACAGGGTCCTATATATTGCAACGGGTTAGTATATTGGTGCTGTGCTTCTAACTCAAGGGGAACTCTGGTAGTGTGGTGGCAAGAATCTACTCTGCAACCCCAAAGGTGCATGGTTTTAGGCTACCAGCTGCTCCGTGGGAGAATGAAGGACAATCTCATCCTGTGTGATTAACTGCCTCTGACAACCTGCTGGAGGGTCAGCTATGGGTCAGTTCTGATTCTATGGAACAACAACAACTCCTAACTCAGGTCAGGGTTTAAATCTACCAGCTATGCCACTGAGGGGAGATGAGGAAATCTCCTCTTTTAAAGATTTACAGCCCTGGAAATCTGACCAGGGTTGGGGGGCGGGGGGTGGGCACAACAGTCAGAACAGAGACCATGGAGTGGGGGCTTTGGGTTTTCATGACTGCTCATCTGAGGCTCTCAGAAACTCAGTGCTCACAGAAAAGGCTAATATGCAGGGGTGCAAGAGCTGTTCACAGAAGGAGGGGCAAGGGAGGGCTGCAGTGGCACATATTGCTGTCTAGGCTGGGTGAGGCAGTGTGCAGGAGTGCACAAGCCTATTACAGACTGGGGGCATTGAGGCACACAGGCTAGGAGCATGAAAGTACACAACATCTGGGGGCACTGAAGCACACTGGGGCTAGGAGTGCTAAAGCACACAGAATAGGGGACACTGAAACACATGGGCTAAGGGCCTAGAAGCACACAGTGTCTGGGGGGTGCTGAAGCATACAGAGTAGGGGGGCACTGACACCCGGGGTGGTCACCTGGTGAATGCACAGCCAATGCGCAGGTCCAGCTCCTGGCGGGCATCCACTGAGAGTGCCTCATTGTGATCGGGCTCGCCCAGGCGGGCCATGGCACTGCAGATGTCCTTGTCTGTGATGGAGCTAAATCTGGCCCGGAACACTGTCTTCTCACTACCATGTGCCTTATTCATCACAGGCAGCACAGCATCCAGAACCTGGGGAGAACTTGGTATCATTCTGCCTCCTATCCCACCCCTGTTCTACCCCTAAGGCACCTCCATGCATGGAGCCCTCCACTATCTGGTGCTGCCTCAATTCTGCAGACCCTCGTGCCTCCTCTCAGGAAGTTCTTTTCTCCTCAGCATCTCAGATCTCTGCAATTCTTTCTTGCTAGTCATTGACACCTTCAAACATTCCCTGCCCCCCTCCCATCTTCCTTTCCACCAACCAAATCCAGAGACATTGCTGTGAGCAAGGGGTGCTAGTGAAACACTGCAACAGGTGAGAGGGGATGAATAGGAAGACTGTATGGAAAGGTGGCAGGCCACCCCACCTGGGACAGGCACAACACCTACAGCTAAAGCAGACAGCATGGCATGCACAGGAGCCAGAGGGACCAGAGCTGAGCCATCCAGGGAGGCTGGAGCTGTGGGCACCTGGCTGTGCCTGCAGGTAAGAAGCAGTCTCGTTCAGGTGAAAAAGCCCAGAGTCCATCCCTCTCTCCTTGCCCAGTGTAGGGATCCCAGGAACGGAGCAACGTTCAGAGCATGGAAGAGTGGGTGGTGGCATCTGAGATGCATTTGCTGAGGATATGGTCTTAGAAAAGTCATCCCAACTCCTTATGCCACTGGAGCTGCGGAGGCCCATCTGTTCAACAGTCCTGTGTGTGTATGAGATGTACCAGCCCGATATACCTGGGTGATGGTATACCAGCTGTGTGCACTGCCTTGTGTGTGTTGTGAGCCCTGTGTGTAAGGTTCTCTCTCTGTGTGTGTGTGTGTGTGTGTGTGTGTGTGTGTGCGCGCGCGCGTGCATATTTCAGGCCTGTGTCAGCTCCGTGTATGTGTGAGGGTGTTTCAGCCTTGTCTGAATAGGGGTGTGGACCCTTAACAGTCACCACAAGGCATTGGTGTTTGAGAGGTACCAGGTGAGGACACCACAGTCCTGGCACAGCGGACAAAGCTGTGGGGGTAATCCTAATGCAGCCTCTGTGTCTACGCAGGGAATGCACCCAGGAGTGGTGTGGGGTGACAGAATGAAGGAGGCTGGGAGAGATGACATGCTGCAAGAGACGGGGCAAATCAGCATGGGCAGTGATAGCAGATGGGCCCTTGCTGGGCTGGGGACTCTGAATACCCATCCTCTCCTAAAAGCTTCCTGCACTGTCCTGGAATATTCCTGCCTTTCCTTTGCTCATCTATCAGTCTTTATGAATAAAGTTATAATCAATTACTGCTGCCCAGGTCTACGCATTTTAGTCGACTGGACTTCCAGAAGAAAGGCGTGTTTTCATGCCCACATGGCGAGCCCCTCTCACAGCCCCCAGTAACAAGGAGGGTTGGTTTGAGGCAGGTGGCAGAAAGGGAAGGGCTTCCTGTGAGGATGAACCTGGCTGCTGCACTCACCTCAAAGCAGATGTTCTCGCCTTCTTTGTCACAGTCCAGCCACAACACGATGTAGTCACAGCCCTGGGCCTCCACCTGCACACAGTACAGCATCCTGTCACTGGTCCCTCACATCCTGTCACTGGTGCCTCAGCAGCCCCAGGACTGGCAGCAGACCATAGCCCAGTCCCCAGCCTCTTCAGGAGGACAGTGAATCCTAGGTGGTATATACAGTTGAAGTGCCTCTGTGTTAACAGAAGGGCTGGTTCCATCCACCCAGAGGCGCCTAAGAAGAGGTCTGACAATGTAACTCCAAACACGAGCCATTAAACCCTGTGCAGCACGGTGTGGCTCTGACATACATGGGCTTGCTGTAAACTGCACAAGTGATGTGGCCTGAGCCCAGCTAGCTGTTCCACTCAGAAAAGTGCAGAACTGTGGTTTCAGGCAGAGAAAGACAAACAACAAGCAAAACCACAACATGGTCTCAGTCCTGAAAACCTTGTCCCAGGAAGAGGGTTAAAATGAGCTAACACTCAACGCAAACCATGCTCATCCTAGGCAATAAAATGACAGACGGACAGACTCTATCTTAGAGACCCCGCTGCCAGGTCCCCAGGGTGGTGGGTGGAGGTGCAGGCTTGGGAGGTGTCTCATATCAAGGGGGAATACTGACAGAAAGAGTTGACAGGAGGAAGAGGAACTCTCGGGCCACGTTGGAGTCAAAGGGTCACACAACTGTCTCCTCTGCTAATTGGGAGGGCACAGGTTCAAGCCCACTCACAGGAGTCTCAGAAGAATGCCTGGAGATCTACTTCCAAACATGTGGAGCACAGCTCAATCTGATCACCAGGACCACCCTGAGCTACACTGACTGGACAGGAATGCGACTGCTGCACCCAGCAGAAGTGGGCTTGGACGCTTCCCCTCGCAGACCTGTGTGCTTGCTCCCAGGCCTGGGCCTCACACACCTGTAGGAACTTCACCATGTTCAGCTTGGGGTTCGCTTCCTTCTTCTCTGTTGGTGCTTGGCTGAACAGCTCAGCAGGGTCTACCTTGTCCCACTTGTTGTATTTCCCTGCCAGCAAAATCATGAGGACACTTGAGTTGCATGTTTCAGCCTGTGCAGGCATCACCTCACAATGTTTCAGTTCAAGGAGGGGGTGGTCTGATGTCCCAGACAAGATCAGGGTGGTTGAGGGTGGGGCTAGGGCACAAGGTCAGAAACGCACACGTCCCCTCCTCAAGCTGAGTTGACCGTATAGTCAATCCAAGGTCGGGGGCAATTTTCTTTCTACAGTTCTCCCCATGGCTGGAAGAAACACCCCTAGACTGGCTTCCTTTGCCAGAGCACTTCTGGCATGCTCCTCATGCCTGTGGCTCCTTTCCTAGCCTGGACTTGCTGGGATCCTCCAGTGCATTAGTGGGTGACCAGCCCAAGGAAGAAGCCAATGCTCTGCACCTCACATCCAGCCATTTCTTGAGGTAATGTTCTTTTGTTGACTTAGCCCTCCGCCTTTTTTAAGGCTCCATTTCTTGCAGTCTAGACAGAGCTGGATGGAGTCAAGTTCAGATTGTGGCTCCTACAATGATTGTCCTAAACCAGTTGGTGCTAAAACTTGGTGTCCCAACATCTGGCCACACCACCATTACTGCTGCTGCTGAGTGACGACTACCACCACTGTGGCCTTCCTGGTGCTAGGAAGGCCCAGCGCTGGGTGTGCCACTTTGCCTCCCAGACTACAGCCTCAGTGTCAAGAAGTCAAAGGTGTCCACATACAACAGACAGAAGCTTATAGAGGTCCAGTCATGGGACTCTGTCATCAGACAGGAGCTAACAGAGCAGGGGGTGAGTCCAGGGTGGACTCTTTATCAACCAAGGGTACTTCCTCTAGATCTAGGGCCACCAGCACTGATCCTCCTCAGGAACTGAGGGGACAAGGGTAGGTCACTGAGTGGATGAGATGTTCAGTAGGAGCACAGCCCTCTCTAGATGGCATGCAACTGTCTGGGCAGTGATGGGGGTGCAGGAGGGATGGGACCCTGAGTCCCTTCTCTGTGACCTGCTGGTCCCAGGGCTCAGCTCTGGGTTGTTCCACAAGGCTCTATTCTGGCCTCCCCTGGCACCCCTTGGACACCCAGTGGCAGCACACAGAGCTCCCTCTGGCCTGGAGAGGCTGAGGACTCACCCAGGAAATCCAGGGTCATCACATGGCCACACACAGACGTCATCTTGAAGTGGACAGGCTGGCCAGCAAAGGTTCCGCTGTACTCATGGACTGAGCATGCTCCGTTCAGCCCTTTATGTGAAGACATGCTGCCTGCGAGAAGTTCACGGTGATGCACACACTCTGGCAGGCTGAGCAGCCTCTGGAAAACTGGTGCTCCTGCCCCACAGTGGCCAGCCACCCTTCAATCAGAGAGGCATGCCTCTCTATGCAGTAACCCCAACCATCCTAAGAACAGATAATTTCTCGCTCCACTAGTCTTCTGCCCTGCCTTTATTCTAGTCTGTTCATGGGGTCTGCTTTAAAGACAGGGACCCTGTGCCTCATCTCTTCTCCCCTCATGGAACCTGACTTCTCAGTTCACTGCTCAGGCCCTTTCCCCTTCCTGCCTGACCAAGCTGAGCTATTTGTCTCAGAAACCCCTCCTGTTTGCAGAGTTCAAAATATGAAGGGGACACAGGACACCACCAAGCATTTGGGGTAAGCAGGAGTGAGGGGCAGCCAGGCTCTCACAATCCCTTGGTGTCTACGAATGCCAGGGTCCATGGTGTGGCTTGCTGGTTCCTCCCGGGTGGTCCAACAGTGGAAGGGACATGGAGCTGGACATGGTCACTGTAGAGTCCAGAGCCCAGGGAGCAGTGACATGAACTCAGTGGTAATGGTACCAGTGGCACTGGCATGGTCAAACTCAGAGACTGCTGTCTGAACTGTGTTCCTCCTTACCTTGCTTTTCTGCCTCGGTCTGCCCAGATTCTGCCTTTTGGCCTAATCTGTCCACAGTGTCTGTACCTACTACCTTGAGAGCTGAGCCTGTTCTCTCAGGACCCAGCCCTAGCATACCCCAGGGGAAGGGCAGGCCTCCCACATCATGGCCCTCACCAGCACCTGGTGACCAGTGCTCAATCTGCCCCAGTGGTAATCACACTTTGGGAAAACAAAGGGACATATGAATGACCAAGCTTACAGACCAAAGTTCTAAGCACAGGTTAGAATGTAATGGCTAGATTGATAGGCATATATAGCATGTCAGAGACTGTGAGGATGGCACAGGATAGTATTACAGGGTTCAGGTCTGTTGTTCATAGGGTCGCTATGAGTTGTACTCAAATTGATGGCACCTAACAACAGCCATGTATGTGTGCGCGCGTGCATGTGTGTGAGTGTGTCTGTATGTGTATTTAGTGGCAGGAAGGACTAATCATCATGCTACCATGCTTGGAAGGGTGGAGGATCAGCACAAGATTGGAAGACCCTGGATGACACGAATTGACATAATCAAAGGGGTCAGGTGTGTCAGAGATGGCTCAGGATAGGGCAAGGATCAGAGCAGTAGTTCATAGGGTCACTAGGAGTTGTAGTTGACTCAACAGCATACAACAACAACAATGTATAGTGGGAGAATTCCTGCCTTCCATCTGGAAGAACTCAGGCTCCATTCCTGGCCAGGGCACTTCATGCACAGCAACCTCCTATCTGCTGGGGAAGGCCTGTGTGTTGCTCTGACGTTGAACACATTTTCAGCAGACCTTCCAGCCTAAGACAGACTAGGAGGAAAGGCCTGGTGACTCCTAATGCTTGGTGGTGTCCTGTGTCCCCTTCATATTTTGAACTCTGCAAACAGGAAGGGTTTCTGAGACAAACTGTTCAGCTTGGTCAGACAGGAAGGGGAAAGGGCCTGAGCAGTGACCTTCTTCCCAAAGCCAGCCAGTGAAAACCCTAGGGACTGAAGGGGTCTGGCAGAACCCTTAGTCCACAGGATGCCACAGAACGGGTGGTACTTCCTCCTGCTGTACACAGGGTGGCTTTGAGTCAACGATGAGGGGTGGGAGAGTACTGATTACCTCTAGAGAGGATTTTGGCAATGGACTGGGCCAAGGATGGCTTCTCTGCAACCATGAACACCGTCTTCATCTTGATGCCACAGGAGCTTCAGGCCCAGGGTTCCAGCTGCAGGTAAATGGCAGGTAAAGCGTCTGCAGGAGGCTCTTATGCTTGCAGTCCACTGCCAAATCTGACTCCTACAGGGAAGGAAAGACACTTGGTAAACAGGTACAGCCAACTGTGCCCACTCCACACCTGGTACACAGACTCACAACACTCAAATAAAACCCCAAGTAAGAAAGATCAAGAAGAATACGAAGAGACTCTACATACAAGCAATCGCATAGGTTCAGACCATAGGAATCTGTTTTCATTTGAGGGGTGCTGGGATGGCCTCTAAGGAGTCCTAGTGACACAGCACTAGGCTGCTAAAACAAGAGACTATTAACCCAAAGGCCAACAGTTCAAACCCCGCCCCCCCACCATGCTCCATGGGAGAGAGATGTAGCTGTTTCCATAATAATTGTTTTAAGCACTAAGTGGAGTACAACTCATAGCAACCCTATGAACAGCATATGTGAGATGGAGCATCAAAACCCTAGCCTTTATGGAGAAACTTGTTTTCACCCTCTCCAAGGCAGATTTACTTCCATGGTATGTTCAAGACTCATCTCCAGCACCTCAACTCAAAGGCATCAATTCTTCTATCATCCTTAGTCATAGCTCTCTGGTGCATAGCAAGTAATTGTGAAGACCCTGGCCTGGATCAGGTGCACCTTAGTCTCTAGACTGATACTGTTGTTTTCTGTACTGTGGAGAGGTCCCTGACGGCAGATTTTTGCAATGCAATTTGTCTTCTGATTTCCAGACTGCTGGTGCTAAGAGTATTGCTTGTGAGCGGAGTAAGCTGTAATTGTTAACAACCTCAAATCTCAATCCTCTACTTTATGCTAATTCTAGCCCTCATACCTACTACTAGCCTAACTAAAAATCATCTTCTAAAGTGATAATAGCCCTAGTAATATAACTCACAGAATGGTCTTTTAAATCATATATAAGTGTTATAGGAAGTATCTCTCTGGCTCAATGTAGGGTGGAGTGGTAAGTGGGTTGGCTGGTGTGTAATTATCCGAATCTCCTACTATGTCTCAGGCAAAAATAACTCGTAGAAGGAGGAAGGGTAAGGTGAGGAACACTTCTTGAAGGTCATTAAGGGTGCAGTGGAGGTGGAAAGGAATTTTGTGGGAGACAGAAATTAGTCCTGATGGATGTTTGATCCTGTTTCAGGAAGGAACAGTGGGTGGACTATTGCTAAGGCAGCAATGATAAATGGAATAATGAAGAGGAGAGTGAACAGTATGCCTCTTTACAACATTCTCAAAGTATGTGAGATGAAGTTTGCCATACTTGCTTCCAAGGAGCACTCCGGCTGCACTTTCTCCAAGATCTTTGTTCTTTTGGCAGTCTATAAGACATTCAGTACTCTTCTCCAACATCACAACTCAAAGATATCAATTCTTCTCTTGTCAATCTTATTGTCCAGCTCTCAAGATGCGCAGTATGTGACTGGAAATACCATGGTGCACTTTCATCTTTAAAACAGATATCATTACTCTTTAGGACTTGGGAGAGGTCCTCAATATCAGACATTCTCAATGCAGTATGTCTCCTGATTTCCTGACTGCTGGTAGCAAGGATGTTGACTGTGGATCCAAGTAAGATGAAATCATTGACAAGTTCAATCTTTTCACCATTTATCATGATGTTGCTTACTGGTCCAGTGGTGAGGATTTCTGTCTTTTTGATGTTGAGATGCAATGCATACTGAAGGTTTTAGCCCTCAATCTTCTACAGTAAGTACTTCAAGTACTCTTCAGTTTCTGTAAGCAAAATTGTATCATCTGAACAACTCTTCCCCAAGCCTGATGCCACATTCTTCTTCATATAGTCCAGCTTCTTGAATGATTTGCTTAGCAGAGAGATTGAACAGGCATGGAAAAGTATACTTGATACACACCTTCTCTGATTTTAAACCATGAATTGCTCCTTGCTCTGTCCTGACAACTGTTTCTTAGTCTATGCACAGGTTTCACATGCTCACAATTAAGTGTTTTGGGATTTCCATTCTTTCCAATGTTCGCTATAATTTCCTATTATCCACATGGTCAAATGCCTTTGCATAATCAAAAAAAAAAACACAAGTAAACATCTTTCTGTATTCTCTACTTTCTAATAGATCCACTTACTATGGCCTCTCCTGAATCTAGCTGGAATTTCTGACAATTCCCTGTCAATGTACTGTTTCAGTTGTGTTTAAATAATTTTCAGCAAGAGTTTATGTGCATGCTGTATTAATGACATTGTTTGAGAATTTCCACATTCTGGCGGATCACTTTTTAGCTGTCTTCGCTATTTGCTAGCAGAGACTGGTGAGGACGTCTTTGGCATTATTTGTTAGCTGAATATGTCAACTAGTGTTTCATCAATTCGTGATCATATGCTACTTCCTGAAATCGTTCAGTGCCAACTAATTCTTTTTGGTACAGTGGCGGTGTATTCTTTCCATCTTCTTTTGATGCTTCCTGCATCATTCAAGATTTTTTGCATAGAAAGCTTCAGTATTGCAACTGGAGGTTTAATTTGTTCTTCAGTTCTTTCAGCTTGAGAAATGCCAAGCATGTTCTGCTCTTTTGGTTTTCTATCTTCAGTTCCTTGCACATTTCCATATAATTCTTTCGTGTTCTTGTGCTGCCATTTGGAATCTTCTGTTTAGCTCTCTTCCTTAAGCATTCCTCTCTCCTGTTTTGGCTTTTCCTTGCAATACAAGTTTCAGTCTTTTCTGACATGCAATTTGGTCTATTTCTTCTTCCCTGTCTTCTGCTTTCTTCATGGAGTATGCTATCCCACAACTTGTCTGTTCTTTGGTCATTAATGTTCAATGTGTCAAATATGTATTTTTTTTTTCATTTTTGACTAGATTGCTTCAGCATGGATTATTTGATTCAATTTAAGTAGTGAATCAAGCACATAATGTTGATTAATGCTGATGTAAACATGATTTTTCTTTAAGTTAGAAAAATAGTACTATGTAGAAGGTAAAAGTTAGCTCTTTGATGATTATCAAATAAACAAAATACTTCCTAATTGAGGATACTGAAATCCAAATAAAATTCTCAAACATACATTACACACTTGCTGTTAATGTTGTGGTGTGTTAGGTCCCCTTGAGTTACTACAATTCATAGTGACAAAGTATAGTAGAAAGAAATGGTGCCCACATTACTCATCCCTGTACCATTTTCACAACTATTGCCATGTTTAAGTCCATTGTTAGTCACTATATCAGTACATTTAATTGAGAGTCTTTTTCTTTTTCTCCCTCTGACTTTCTGCTTTACCAGTAATGATGTACTTTTCCAGGAATGGCTCTTCTTCATAAAACATCCTACGTAAGTGAGACAACGTCTTGCCATCCTGACTTCTAATGACAATTTTGAGTACACTTCTGCAGAGACAAATAAGACTCTTCTGGAAGTCCATATATTCAAGAATACCTTTCTTTTTGTACTCTCTTATTCATTGTCCAGTTTTTGTATGCATATAAGGAAATGGAAAATAATATGGCTTATGTATGGCTCACTTTAGTCCATTATTTCTTCTTAACAGGCTTAACATTGTGCAGTAGATTTGCACAATGCAATAAAGCCTTTTTGTGTACTAGTTTGTTTACAAAATTATAGTACAAATTTTAACAAATTCTTTCAATTTCCCTCACCCATCAAATTGTACAACCCAATGATTAATACCCCCTTCTGCCTGCACATCCACATCCCTCTGCTTCTAGCCTCTCCTATCCCTCCTGGATCCTTATACTCATTCTACAATAACGGTTTTATACAATAGTCAAATTTATTTTTAAGATGGTTTGTTGTCATCCTCCCCCCCCCCCCCCCCCCCAGCTTCCAAAGGCTTTTTTGGTAAATGTGCTTTAGAAAAGGATCCTCAGTCCTCCCATTTCCAAGTCTGGAATGAAGAGCTGTGTACAGGAGCACATGTCTCAAACCAGGAGGACGCTGCCGTTGTCTACCTCTTATTCATAGATCCAGTCATGGGCACAAGCTTGTAGTCAACCAATTTCTCTGGCTTAAACCACAGACTGATTTCTTTCTCGGCACTTTTTACTGAATCACTGCTGCGGTTCCTGCCAACTTGAATACAGAAGTCCCCACAAATGGTGCCTGACTTAGAATCTGCTGGGTTGGTCTCTCCAAGCATCATTTGCCTGGTCTTCATCACATTCAGCCCCTCCCAGACCATGGCCACAATTAGTCCTGAGTTCATGTACCAACCCCAGGAAGAATGGCTGGTCTTTGAGGTCAATGTAGTGCTGCTTCAGGTGTTCCTTGGAGGCCTGAAGGGGCTTCATGGCCACAAGGCAGAATCCTTTCTGCTCAAAGCACTTGATCTTGCCAACCAGGCTGTGCTGCCCACCATCCAGCTTGATGACAGTGAAGGCACACTCACTGTTCACCGTGTTGCTGCGAGTGAGAGGGCTAGTCAGGGCCCCGCAGGTACAGGCATGTCCTGATCAGAGTTCCCAGGTCCCAATCCCAGTCCCTAAGATAGGTTTTAAATTCTGTTCGGATATAATTAAGGCCATATTTTGGTTCTTATGAACTTGTTTTCATTTTCCTCAACTTCAGTTTTAACTTGCTTATGAGTAGTTGATGGTCTGTCCCATAATCATCCTCTGGCCTGGTCTTAATTGTTGATATGAAGTTCTTCCTTGGTCTCTTTCCACAGCTGTAGCCTATCTGGTTCTTGTGTAGTCCTTTAGGTGAAGTCCATAAACAGTTGCTTATTTACTTTTTAAAAAGTATTTGCAATGAATAAATAATTTCTTGTACAGAATTCTAGCATTTGCTCTCCAGCCTCATTCCTGTCACCAAGGCTGTATTTTCCAATCAACAGTTCTTGTTTGCAACATTGTATTCCAATTACCAATTATTATTAATGCATCTTGATTGCATGTTAATCAATTTCAGACTGCAAAAGTTGGTAGAAATCCTCAATTTCTTCATCTTTGGTTTTGTG